AAAAAACAAAAGCAGCAGCAGCAGCAGCAGCAGCAGCAGCAGCAGCAGCAGCAGCAGCAGGAAGGGGCAGACCACTCCAGCTGGCTAGCTAGCTTGAGGCGCCAGCTAGCTGTTTCCAAGGAGACCATCAGTGGCGGCTTTCTCTTCATGAAACTTCTCTGGGGGCCCCCCCACAGGGGCCCCCCCAACAGGGGGGCCCCCCTAGGGGGCCCCCCATCAGGGGGCCCCCCATCAGGGGGCCCCCCTTCAGGGGGCCGCCCATCAGTGGGCCCCCCCTTCAGGGGCCCCCCTTCAGGGGCCCCCCCTTCAGGGGGCCCCCCTTCAGGGGGGCCCCCTATCAGGGGCCCCGGGGGCCCCCAGGGGCCTGGGGGCCCCCAGGGGCCTGGGGGCCCCCAGGGGCCTGGGGGCCCCCAGGGTCCTGGGGGCCCCCATGTGGGGGCCCCTGGAGAAGCGGCGCTGCTGGGGTGTACAGACACCTCAGAGTGGAAGCTGCAAGGGTTCCTGCTGGCTCGGACAGCAGCAGCAGCAAGCGCTGCAGCGGCAGCAGCAGCAGCAACAGCGACAGCAGCAGCAGCAACAGCGACAGCAGCAGCAGCAGCAAGGAACGGGGAAGAGTCAGAGAAAAGCCCTGAAGGCAAACTGGCAGCAGCAGCAGCAGCAGCAGCGCCAGCAGAACAGCTGCTGCTGCTGCTGCTAGTTCCTAAGAAATATATGCCTTGGGGGGACCTAGAGGTGCTGCAGGCTGCTGCTGACTCGTGGGGCTGCTGCTGCTGCTTAGAGAGTAGCAGCAGCAGCAGCAGCAGCAGCAGAAGCCGCAGACGCAGCACGTATCCCCTGTTGCTGCTGCTGCAGCAGCAGCAACAGCAGCAGCAGATCATTACCCAGCGGCCGTCGGCGCAGCATGTAGCGTGGCTGCTGCTCATCCTTCAGTCACTGAGGCAGCAGCAGCAGCAGCAGCAGCAGCAGCTTGGACAGTGTCCGCAGCAGCAGCAGCAGCAACATACACAGCAGCAACAGCAGCAGCAGCAGCAGCAGCAGCAAGAAGCCACACTTGTGCTGCAGGTGGACACTCCTTATTACATAAAAGAGGAGACAGAAACTCCTGAAGAAGTGCTGGGGGACTCAGGGGCCTCCAGAGCTGACCTAAACCCTAAACCCTAAACCCTAAACTCTAAACCCTAAACCCTAAACCCTGATGGCTCGGTGAGCTAGCTGGGTGGTCTGAATAGACCTTTGCTGCAGCTGGCTTCTTGAAAAGGTTTTTGCATGCGTTTGAAAAAATAAAAGGTTTTTTATTTAGGGTTTAGGGTTTACGTCGGCCGAGGGTTTAGGGTTTAGCTCCCCCGAGGGTTTAGGGTTTGGCAGCCGAGTGTCGGCTGTGGGGCCCCCCGTTGCAGCCTCAAGACTTGAAATTAGGGTTTAGGGTTTAGGGTTTAGGGTTTAGAGTTTATGCTTGAGGGTCATTGGTAAAACGCCACGAATGAGTGCATTTTATATTTATTGCTTGTGTCTAGGATCTAGGGTTTAGGGTTTAGGGTTTAGGGTTTAGGAGACCTGACCGCTGGCAGCAACCCCCTCAGGATGGGGCCCCCTCGAGGGTTTAGGGTTTAGGGTTTAGGGTTTATGGTTTAGGGTTTAGGCGTAGTCAAACAGGCAATATGCTGCAGCAGCTTCTGCAGCAAACGCAGCGCTTGCTGCTGCTGCTGCTGCTGCTGCTGCTGCTGCTGCTGCACATCCTCGCAGTGCAGGGCCGCTCACTCTATCGCATGGCAGCTGACACAGCAGGAGAGACAGCTGCTGCTGCTGCTGCTGCTGCTGCTGTGCAGGGGAGGCAGCGAGCTGCTGCAGCAGCAGCTCATGCAGCAGAAGCAGCAAAAGCAACAGCAGCAGCAGCAGCAACAGCAGCAACAGCAGCAACGGCAGCAGCAGCAGCGCCGAGGCATATTGCGCCTGCGTGGCTGCACCCGATAAGGCCTCACCGCTGCTTGTACAGCAGCAGCAGCAGCAGCAGCAGCAGCAGCAGCAAGAACGCTTGCAGCAGCAGCAGCAGCAGCAGCAAGAACGCTTGCAGCAGCAGCAGCAGCAGAAGTGCCACCAAATACCCAGCAGCAGCAACAAGGATTGCGCCACTGGGGCCAAGGACTGCAACAGGCACTAGCGAGGGCACTTCTGCAGCAGCAGCAGCAGCAGCAACAGCAGCAACAGCAGCAGCAGGAGAAGCAGCAGAAGAAGAAGCAGCAGAAGCAGCAGAAGCAGCAGAAGCAGCGGAAGCAGCAGAAGCAGCAGAAGCAGCAGAGGGGACGGAGGAGGGGAGTGAAGATGACGATGACATTGATGTAAAGTATGAGTTGCTGCTGCTGCTGCTGCTGCTGCTGCTGTAAAGCCTGCCTCAGTTCCTGCTGCTGCTGCTGCTGCTGTGTTCTTGGATCTGTCCCAGATGCTGCTGCTGCTGCTGCTGGCTGCTCACTTGTGACTAGCCTGCTGCCACGAGCGAGGTGCA